AGGAGTAATTGCTCCGAATCACATGAGTCTTCGTAAAAGCATTTTAAAATCATTCACTTTGCATTATTTGCCACCTGCCCTGCAGTTGGTAACAACAGGAAATCAAACTTGTAATTAAAACGTCACCACTGATAAGTACTCCACTGGCAAGGATTTGGCTAGATAGATGAGAAATTATTATCCTGTGCAGTAGCAGGTAGTTTGCGTGGCAAATTAAACATCATCAAATGGCAATTAAGTATGTTTAGCAAACTTAACAGAAATGGTGATGGTTAGGGTACTCCACTGGCAAGGATTTGGCTAGATAGATGAGAAATTATTATCCTGTGCAGTAGCAGGTAGTTTGCGTGGCAAATTAACATCAAATGGCAATTAAGTATGTTTAGCAAACTTAACAGAAATGGTGATGGTTAGGGAGAGAGAGAGAGAGACATCTGGCCAAACTAGCCTTGAATAGAATATATGGAATTATATGTTTCACTCACCTAACTACAGCAGACACTCTTCCTTTGTCATTTTGGTGATCAGTTTTCCAACTAAAATGTGATTGTTATCCAAAACCCTCACCTAATTGCCTTTAAACTAAAGATAAAGTGTTCACATTTTCATACTTTAAAGGCACACCCCATTGTAAAGGACCCACTAGTATAGTGGTTCAGAACAATTGCTCCTCCAGAAAAAATTCTAGGTTCGAGTCCTAGCATCCCTATAATGTGTGTGAATTTAGCATGCTATGGCCCCTCTCAATAGAAAATGTCTTTGAAAATACAACAAAAAAAGGCACACCCCATTTAAACCCTCTTACACGTTATATCTTTAACCTAAATGCTCAATAATTGTAACATATTAGCTGAATTTAAATATAGGTACAACTATAATCAACCAAATTCTTTGTTAGCCCATGTTCTTCAAATTTTTAAATTTCCCCTCTTTTTAGGTCATTGATTGCGTAAGAAATTTAAGTTGATAATTTACATCATAATAAAGAAGAGTTGGCCTAGAAGACTCAGCCACTTGCCTAAAACTTGTTGCCCTAGAAGAAAAAAATAAAATAAATGGAAAAAAAACTTGTGGATATAAATATGAGATTCTTTATACAAATTGAGTAAAAAATTTAGATTGGGTGTCACATCTCTAACACTACCAAAATTTTGTCATTATTAATTTAATTTAACAAAACTCAGCCACTTGGGTGTGCCCTAGAAAAGAACTCAGCCACCTGGTTCGTTATCCTACACCCTAATCCACTGGAATGACTTTTGAAATCAGGCCAGGCCCACCTCGAAGCCCATGTTTTGAGGGTTAGCACTTTGTCGCTTGCGGTTGACCATACCACCCTCACGCGCTCCCACGAGCAGGTGGAGCATTATTTTAGTTCCTCTTTTTGGCACTTTAGGAACTCTCGCCCCTGTCACCCTTCTGGCCTCACTGGTTCAATCAAGAACTTGGAGAGAGAAAGCGACACTTTGAGAGAGAGAAAAGAGAAAGAGAAAGGAACCCCAAGCTCACTTTCCTCTTCTCTTTCGCTATATAATTTTAAGTGCCTCAAAAAGCCTGAGTCTTTAGGGTTATCTGTTGCAAAACAAAGCAAGAGCATCATCAAGTTCCAGAGCTTTTGAAAATACATGAATGGCGGACTTCCCGGAATCAAGTTAGGTATGCTCCATTTTTTTTCATTACATATATTCTATTGTCAGCTTCTCTCGCATAATCAGTCAATTTGATATGGAAATTGAATTCATACTTACAAAAGAAGTTGAGTAAATTTTGGCACCATTTGGGCAGTTACTGCTACTGCCATGTTCTAAAGTTGTTGGCGGCATGAAACTCTGGTGATGATGGAAGAAAAAGTTCTTGACTTTAGCTTCGCTTGCTTGCAAAATAAGTTGGGTTTGTGTTTGATCTCTGAGTAGAGAAGAGCATGGTCTTTGGTTGTAACGATATATATGATCTGTCGAATGTCAGAAGGAAAAGATCTTAGATGGTTTTCAGGCCACACCCATTTGAAGATGTCTTGGGTTCAGCATCAAATCCAGCTGAGAGATGGTTATTTGAGCTACCCCCCTCCTTTTTCTCTTCCCTCTTCGCCCCCATATGTTGCTACTTTTCATAGAGATTCGAATCCACCAGTATCATCTGGTACAAAAATAAGTCCTGCCGTTCTTTTTATAATAGTAATTCTGGCTGTACTGTTCTTCATCTCTGGTTTGCTGCACCTGCTCGTTAGATTTCTTACAAAGCACCCATCTTCCTCACCTTCTTCTCCTCAGTCTAATAGGTACCCAGAACTTTCTACTTCTGATGCTCTTCAGAGACAGCTGCAGCAACTCTTCCACCTTCATGATTCTGGTCTTGATCAAGCTTTTATTGATGCTCTTCCTGTTTTCCAATATAGAGACATAGTGGGTTTGAAAGAGCCGTTTGATTGTTCTGTTTGTCTTTGTGAATTTTCTGAAAAGGACAAGCTCAGATTGCTTCCTACGTGTAGCCATGCTTTCCATATCAACTGTATAGATACTTGGCTACTGTCAAATTCAACATGTCCTCTTTGTAGGGGTACCCTCTTCAATCCCGATTATTCGGTTCAAAACCCAATTTTTGATTTTGATGAGTATAGAGAAGAAGAAGGGTATCCTGGTAATAGAGAAAACGGGTTCACTACTAGGCAAAAGACCATGGACATTGAGGAAATTGTTGTTGAAAATGGGATTTTGCCTGTGAGACTTGGCAAATTTAGAAAGGTAGATGTTGAGGTAGGAGGGGAGACTGGAGTAGGAGAGACTAGTAGCAGTAATTTGGATGCAAGAAGATGTTTTTCAATGGGTTCATATCAGTATGTGCTTGGTGATTCAGACCTTCAGGTTCCCTTATCGAATGATCAACAAGACTGCAATATAAAGCTAACAAGAGGGATAGAATGCGATGGTAATCCTTCAATTGATAGTGATGTGGAGGGAAAGAAGATCAGTAGTGTGACTAAGGGTGAAAGCTATTCTGTTTCCAAGATCTGGCTCTGGTCAAAGAAGGGCAAGTTTTCGAGTTCTATTGATACACAGATGGGTATGCCTTCCTCTCTTAATACAGACTTGCCATGGATGGGAAGAATGCGAGCAGAATGAGAGGTATTTTATTTATTGTTTCCTTGGTTGCTTAATAGTCCAATGATCAAAGCTTGTTACACCTTAGTCTAGTTTTTCCTTCTCAAAATTTTTTGTAATGCTAATTATGTATCTGCGATGATTGATTGTGTGCCATATCGTGCCCTTTGAAACCAAACCAGGATATATAATGTCTTGTGAAGAAGGCGTTTTCTAATTTTAGGGAATGACTATATTGGCTTTCTGTTGGTGAACACCATCTGAGATATGGGTTATGTCATTCTTGTTGTTGGGACAAAGTTATGAACACTTGTGTGCTACAAAAAGGAAAAAATATTCATCTGATCACAGGGATTGCTTTAGCTTCTTTTTTTCTTTACCTCAATTGCAAGTTTACCAAAGTTATCCTGGCTGGAAAAATGCAAATGCTGTTGTAGTCCATGGAAATGAGTCTAAACTAAAATGTTTGCAGCTAGAAGGTTTCTCTCCTCTTACAAGTTTTGACCTTTGCCCTGAATTGACAATTTTGTGGTTGTGCATTTGCTTTATTTTATTGCCTTTTGATGCATTGATCGGGAAATCTTATCTCTCTTTTTTCAGAGAATAATGTGAATGCAATCTTAACATACTAGACATAATTTACCGGTAGGGAAGTTGGACAGGGTTGCAGTGGTGGTGGGATCCACGAAAGCTCTGTACTCACAGAATCTTTTCCTGAAATGAGAAACTTTTTATTCAAATGTTGGCTGTAGTGGGGTCACTTTTTGCCATTCCCATGTGGCCATGTTGAAATCAATTCCCTCATAATTTTCAAAAATTGAGCAGAGGTTTTCCACATTGTATCCCTTGTGTTAATTTCAATTTCAATTCAAATAGGGTAAGATTTAGATAAGATGTGAAAATTGCTAGAAATGAAATGCTAAAATATTGATAAAAACATATTTTTTTTTAGTGAAAAACTTCAAATTTGTACCAAGAAACAGATTTGAATGGCATTAGTTTATTTGTTTACTTTGGGATTGCATTCGAATATGTAGATATTGAATTCAATTCATGGTGAATTTGAATTATGGTGTTTTGTTTTTAAGGCCCCGCAATAGGAAAATGCAGCACACGGTCACCAAGGCGCCAACCCAACGTCTTATTTTATTTGAGCTCGCTCCACATATTCCCGCTGATAGGTAACATTAGGATGTCCAGACAGGCCAACTAAAATCACAGAATAAGATAAATTAGTGATGTTGACCCCAAAAACAAAAAAAAACAAAAAAATATAGGACATTAGTGATTCGTCCCTTATATATAGGCTATAGCTTAGGATGTGTAGTATTATTGTACATAGGCCAAGCCCGACCCAGTTGTCGCTTTATAAAGATGGCCAAGTTTGATTTTCTAATTACTCTAATGTATGAAGATGAGAATCGAACTCGGATGCAAGGAGGTTGGCACACTGTCAGCGTAACTCGTGTCTGTTTTTTTTTTTTCTTCTTGTGTGTGTGTGTGTGATGAATCGTGAACCTACACTTATCTATGTGCAGACGAAATGCCCTGTGATTGGGAAGGTGCTTCCAGAAAGAAAAGATAATAATGGAATGGTGGATGAAGAAAGTGGTGATGATGGGGGATGGGGATGACTTGCAGAAAGAAGAGACAGTAGTGATGAGAAGGGGAAATAAAGATAGCTGAGTGAGTGAGTGAATGAGTGAGAGCATGATGGGCAAATCAGTAGGGCCCTAATAATTAACAAGTTCCAGTCCATTGGATTTTATAAATTTGCATGTACGAGGAGGTATCAACGCCACTCGAAAACACAGGAAATAATGCAACGAAAAAGGAGGGAATTGCATCACTTAAAGGTAGTAAGCCAGAAAAGAATACAATATTGTATGACACTATGATTACTGACCTTGAAGCTTAATTATATAGATAATTGATGTGTTAAATCATATTTTACATTCTATATATGCGTTAGGCCAAGTTCGAATGCCCCTCTCCGTACAAAAGGATGGACTTACCGTCATATCCAGTTGTCTTAACACATAGTATACTTATAATTACTTAAAACTTTTTTTATATATCATAATGTTTGTTTTGCACCTAACCACAAACCTTACCTTCACATACACAAAATTCGTTAGAAATCAATTGTTCCATTTTCATGGAGCCTATTCCATTTACTAATTAAAAGAACATCAATTTTTTCCCTTTTTTACTTCGGTCAAAATATAAAATCAATTAAAATGGAAAAAAATCTGAACCTACACCCCCGAGTCAACCGACAGTCACGGGTCCCTAAAAAGCAAAATAGTCAACCGCCGCGCTTTTCTCTCTTCTCCTCCTCCTCCGTCTCAACTCTCCCGCAAAACTCCGCGCCAGCGCACGTTAGCGCACGCGGCGCACCGAATATCCCTCCGTTTCCTTCGTTCTCATTCACACGCACTGTCACACACACACACACACTCTCTCTCTCATCATCACGTGACTCTCACGTGAATGAGGGCCCGTCCTTCCCCAAATCCATGGACGACTTAGCGGAGGCCGGAATGGACGCGTACCGACAGGAGAAACCCCTGTACAAGTAATCGTCGTCCAAATTACCGCTTTGCCCCGGGCCCTCGTCGAAGTTGAGGGAGTAACTCATGGGGTCGTAATGGAATTTGGGGGAGCGCTTGTTGGCGGTGCTCTTGTTGAAGCGGCGGATGAAGGTCTTCCACTTGGGGCCCGCCACTACTTCGGACCACTCCCGGATCTTCTTCCAGCCCCGGTTCCACCACGGATCTACGTGGTCGCCGCTGTACCGGATCCGCTCCCAGGACCCGTCGCTGGAGAACGGTTCTGAGCCGAAGCAGGGCATCCATAAACAGCACCCGCTTGTCTTGACGGGCATCAACTCTTCGACATCATCGGATTCGGCAAGGTCCGGTTTTGGAGGTGGAACGGCGTGGTAGGCGGCGGTTTTCGACGGCATTTATTGACAATTAGCTAGGGCTTCTTAATCTATCAGAATTTTTTTAAGGATTTAAGGCTTAAATCCTTGTGTTTCTGCAAGCCCTAGCCCTTTGGTTGGGTCGGTCTCAGGTCTGTTTGTGTTTGTGTTTGTATACGAATATATATGATTTGTGAGAAATACAGGTCTCTAGGTTTGTAACCGAAATCTCGCTGGACATGAAATGCATTACAGGCCCCCAGGTGTCAATTACGGGGCCTTCCTTCTCCTCCCTGTAGTATTTGGCTTCCATGTTTGTACGTACTTAGCTTGTTAAACAAAAACAGATACAGAAATGCAACTTTACGTTTTTAACTTGATATTATTGTCATATGTGATGTGTAAGTTAACTGCTTAACGCCCAAATTTGGTGATTTTAATTAGCAAAGAGCTCCCGTTGTGGCGCCACAAGCCAGGTCATATGACAAAAGCCTTGAATGTCACTAGATAGCATTGTTTTACTATTTCCATCCAATTACGTTTCGTTATATTAAATCCTTATCACGTGTGATAAAACGTAATTAATTATGAATAACAAAACAATGTTATTCTCGTGTTATACAAGTTTGTATCGCTCATATGGTTGTATGCCGTGCTTGATTATGTTTTTGTCATTTCGTAATTAATTTCCGTTGTCTGTCCCTGGCGCCAAAGCATTAACTGACATCCAAGAATCAAATAGGCAATAGTCGGTGGTGGTATAATCATATTATACTATGAGGAATCTCTGATTTAATCATATTCATAATTCTGAGGGTTTTTTTTTTTTTTTTTGTCAACATAATTCTGAGGGTTCATCAATTAGGAGCTTGTTTATTGTTAATTAATTAATTATATTAAATAGATTGGCTGCTTTTAACTCAACTTAGAAAATGAATTGATCAGCAACAGCATTGGGCATTGGGCATTGCGCGCGCGCAACCTGTTGCATGCATCTGGATTCTGGCCAAGAAAAAATGGCAGAATATATAACATACGTGTATTTCTGTCACCTCTCTCTTCTGTTCTTTTTCTCTCCTTAATTTCTGGCTATTTTTGTAAAAATTGCTAAAAATAAATACACGTTGTGAAGATTAGATTTCCATGGATCTCTTTCCATTTTGTCAACGGAAATATGTTGACTAAATTAACCTAACAAGAAGCACATTTAAAATAATTGACATTAAGCAACTTTTTCTTTCTTGGCTTGGACATGAAGCACATTAATTTGTTTTGCTTGGACATGAAGCACATTGTATTGTTGGCTTTGGAGGAGATCAACTTCTCTTTCTTTCGTCACCAATTTTATAATGACCGGGCTGCTCTCTCATATTTCTCCCTTCTTTTTCCTCCTGCGTGTTAGGAATGTCAAATCTGAAAACATCTCCTCTCTCTTATTATAATTAATTACCTCATTTTGCATTCCACATAATAGGAATCACATATATTTACTCCAGCATCTTCAATGCATTTTCAGGCAAGGGGAGGTGTAGTTGCACCTCCTTACGCCTCTATGGATCTGCCAGTGCATGAAAGATTATGGATGAATAGATCTGAAGAAATCAAATTAAAGTAACGAAGTACATAATAAGGATGAAAAGGCGAATGGTCCAATAAATAGATTCTTCCACACAATTGAAGTGTTAATGAATCACATATCAATTAGGTAAAAGACCATCTCCAACTATATGCCGAGCACATCACTGGCTTGATGAAACCTTCTTCAACACCAGTAGAGAAAAAAAAATCCCATATGGAAAGTCTCATGGGTTATGGTGGGATTTGAGATAGGGTTTAGTATTTACATTTCCCACTAAAAACTCCCATACAATTCCACATTTAAAAAAGCACATACAATTCCACATTTAAAAAAATCCTTTGAAATTAGCGAGATTTTGAATACCATAAGACTTTTTGTTAATTGATTAAAATCTTGATTAAATACCACTAGATTTGGTCACTCTCTTTTGAAAATCCTAATAGTCTTAATGGAATACCATAAAACTCTTTTATATCATTTAAAAGTTTTAATTGAATACCACAAGACTTATTTATCCCAAAATAATCTTTTAAAATCCCAATTAAATACACCTAAATCAACCTAACATGAAGCACGTTTAATATATTAACATTAAGCAATTTTTTTCTTTCTTGGCTTGGACATTAAGCACATTATTGACTTTGGAGGAGATCAACTTCTCTTTCTTTCTTCACCAATTTTATAATGACCAGGTTGCTCTCTCAAATTTCTCCCTTCTTTTTCCTCCTGCGTGTTATGAATGTCAAATCTGATATTTTGGAAAACATCTCCTCTCTCTTATTATAATTAATTACCTCATTTTGCATGCCACATAATAGGAGGAAATAAAAAAAAAATCTCAAGGATGACCAGTCTCCTTATCTTAAGTGATGGATCTTTTTGAAAAAGCCTATAGCTAACAGCATCTTGGATATATATTGCGGGTACTTGGTATAAGTTTCCATTGTTAATTATTGTTGGAATAAGTCGAATCAAACTTGACCTACTCCTATATGGCTTTAACTACTAAGTATTCAAAGCTTATTTAGACTACGTACATGATCAATTTTAAAAGTTAAAAATTAATCTCTTTAGTCATTTACATATTAATGTATCAAAATTAGACAGTCACAATGTGCTTTTGGTTTGTTGATGCAGATCAATTCAACTTGTTGTAGCGTTTGGTCACTGTAGAAGTTGTATCAATATTCGGCACCTTAGTTGCTCTGTACTTGTTTTTGTTTATTTTATTAATAAAATACTATCGCTTTTTTTTTTATTAATCAAAAAACGAAAAAGAAAGTAATATATCTACTAAAAAATAATTAAATTTTTTAAAGTTGCAAAGACTTGATGATCAACATGCAGCACTTCGAAATTACGCTTCCTATATATATATATATGTTTGCATATTCTCCTGCTGAATCAGTCAATTCTTTTTAGTCATCATAAACGTATGTATATTTCAATGAGCAGGAAGTCACATAGCAAAAACTCAGATTATCAACATATTGCAGCGCTTAACCAGACTTTGAAATTAACTAGTGAGAGAGTTGTATTTGTGACAAGTCAAACTGCTTAAATTGAATATTCTTTGCGCGGCTAAGTCCTAAGAGAAAATCTTGGTCAAAGCAAGAAAAAAACCTAGACGACCAGGCACACATATTCAAATTAATAGTACCTTACCACGCTATATAGCCCATGTTGAATCTGTCTCCATGGATTTAAATTTCGTTCATGCTTCCTCACCTGGAACCATTTCGCATATACGTGTTTGAACGGGCATTCTAATTTTTCCTCTCTCATTTTTTATTAGTCAAACAAGCTCACCGCATATTTCACCTATAAATACCAAACCCCACTCTACCAAACTTCATAACTCGAAAATCCTCGACCCATTAGCTACCTATACCACAAAACAAAACCAGTGACTTTAGTTCTTGAGTTTTAGTCATGGCCAGAGAAATCAAACTCCAGCGTTTCCTCGTTCCCCTACTTGTCCTGAGCTTCGTTTTGCTAGCTGCTGCCATAGAAGCCCGTCCTCTTTCTCATCATTATAAGAATCATCACCACCGGGGCCACCAGCTCCACCACAACCCGAGGAAGGCCGGTTCGAGCCCGGGAGGGGTTGGCCATTACTTGGGTGATGTTCTTGCCCTTTGGGGAGTCAAGAATTCTGGTCCAAGCCCCGGTGAAGGCCACTAATGTTCCAGTCCCTCATATGGTGCACACAAATGAAGTTGTGCTAGCTACTTTAGTATTTAAGGCTCAAATATCCAGTTAGCACAGAACGTGTTATACTTGTGTAAAACAGTTGCATTCTTTAATTTCTTCATCATTCTAATACAAAGCCTATTTCTTTCTTTCAAGTTACGTATTTGGTTTCGTTTTTTATTATTAATTGCGTAACGCGTTTCTTTTATAATCAATTATCAAAGGGAAAATTGAAATGCAAAGTTAAGAGCGAAATTACAAAGATGGGCCATATATGGTTGCTCAAAATTATATGATATTGGGCTGTTTGTTGACGTTAGTATTTTTACTTTTTGTCCTTTATTTTGGCCATGTTTGTTTAAGTCAAGATTTTGGTGAAGCCTGTGACACCAACTGTTTTCGCCTCGCTCTATAATAGTAGAGATGAAATCGAGATGAATGAGAAAAGAGATAAAAGATGGAAGGGACAAATGAGAGAAAAAAAATTCAATTAAATTTTGTTGAAAAAAAATTTGGGTAATGGTCCACTAAGGGGACCTATACGACTTATAGGTGATCCTGCCACTGAATCACTGACAAACTTTAGGGCAATATTGACTTTTCCTATTTCAGTTCTGCTCAAGGTCACTCGATTTGGAAGATGTGTTAAGTTTTAGCTTTGATCCTAATAAATATATATTAAAATTTAAAGAGTATAGCCGTGCGGCTATACCCTTTAAATATTTTCAAATAGTTTAACAGTACAGCGGCGCTGCTATTCTTTTAAAATATATTAATATTTAAATAGTATAGCCGCGCGGCTATACTGCACAAAATGGTTTTCACTTTTGTAATTAAGTAATATCTTATCATTTTTTTAATTAATTTAATTAATATTTATTTAGTGATTAATTAGTATTTAAATACTTTACTAATTTCATAAATTACTTACAAAATAGTAATTAATTATTTTAAATTATTTTGTGAACCTTATTTTTTAGTTTTTATTAACAAACTGAGTTTGTTTAGTTCAATATTTGCAATTAAGTAATATATTAGCCTTCTTTAATTATATTAATTTAATGAATAATTAGTATTTTAATTAATTTCATAAATTACTTAGTAAATACTAATTAATTATATTTACTTATCTTAAATAATTTTGTGGACTTTAAAATTATTTTTAATTTCCGAATATATTTTAAAAATAATTTCAATTATTAGAAAATTATTTTAGTATTCCAAAAATGAATTTGAACCCCCAACCCCTAAATCCAAGTCTCAAACCTTTCTCAAACCCGAACCTAACCACAAGACTACTTTGAGAAGAAAAAATAATTCAATTAAAAATAAAATAAAAAGAATAATTTGGGTAATGGTCCACTAAGGGTACCTATTCGACTTGTTAGGTGATCCTGCCACTGAAGCGCTGATAAACTTCAGGGCAATTTTGACTTTTCGAATGTCATTTCTGCTCAGAGTCACTCGATTTGGAAGAAGTTAAGTTTTAGCTTTGACCCAGACCGAAAAAAGTTTTAGCTTTGAACCCGTGTTTAACCGTTTGATAAAATCCTACCTAGGCTACCATTGCGACCCCACTCA